AATCATACCTAGATGAAGTCTATTTCCTAGGTTTTGCCTTCACGCTGAAAAGCATCACTGCTGAAAAGTACACCTTTATTATATATATGGATAGTATCATTCATGTATGTGCTCTCAAGAAGTTTTTTCATGCATAACTACATGAAGTCTATTTTTCCAGGGTTTGCTTTCAGTGCCGAAAAGCATCACTGAAGAGCATAACCTTTATAATATGGATAGTATCATTCATGTATGTGCCCCGAAAGTTTCTTGATGCATACCTAGGTGGTTCCATTACAAATCCGTTCTCGAAGTTGTTTGACAATGTTGGCTGATTTGTGCACTGAGTAATGTCATCATTCTGTTTGTAATGGCTTTCACTTTCACCCTAATGCATCACTGGTTCCGACCAGGGCCTCAGATCCATCACAAATCACCGGGTCAGTGAAACCTAGAATTTGTCATGAGCATGCGCCAGATAGAATTTTTGATCCTATGCCATATAGAAAATACCTTTCATGGCAGAACCAACGTTGGAACACATGTGACTGAAGTTGGTCCATATGTCGCACATGGCACATGTCGGCCAGGAAAAATGTCAGAACACGCGCCAACAAAGATGTCAGAACACAGTCCAGAACGAATCCCAACCTTTATGGTAGCTGATGTGTCAGACGACAACCAGATTTGATGCCAGAACAAGTGTCAGAACATCGTGTCCGCACAAATCGCCTTTCAGGCTGGGGATCACTCGAAGTAAAGTAATTCTGGTGAAAAGAGCCAATGGCTTCATCCCAAACAGGTGTCATTCACAGCAACCGTTTGGCTCCGAATCTTCGACTGGTCTACCGTATTTAGCATATGGTACCGCCAGGCGGGCAGAAACCCTCAAAACATCCCAAGTACTAGTATATGGAGGAACCTCAGAACTTAAAGGATTTAGTTGGTATTCACCCCACAATGGCACCACAGAAACTCCAAATCAAGAAGCTGGGAGAATTACTGTAAGGGTTAAAAAGGCCAACAGTCCCCGCATCAGTACCACTTTCACGACTTCAATCAACGCCAGTTGTTGGTCAGTGCCCAGATGTGTGCTACTTCGATAGATTGGAGGCCTTGTGGTTCATCTTCAATGGAAAGGGAGTCACTGTAAAACATCAAAGGTTGAAGCGCCCCGATGAACGACACCCTACAACCACCACGATCAACCGGTCGGCAACGATGGGGGGTCAATGATACGAGGTTACTGGCTATCTCCGGTCGTGTGCATGGAGCAGTCGGATGGGTCCATTCGCACCGAAGGCACGGCGGGTGCGTGCTGGGGGGGGCACCAGCAAGGCCAGCGTGGAGACGACGAAATCCTGTTTCCCAACACCTCTGGGGAAACTCCGTTTTTGTTCACTCAAGACAGTCCCGTGGCCAAGGGGATTCAAAGATCAATCTGAAGAGCATCGAGTCCTTCTCAGGCTGGGGTACCGCTTAGTGGCTGCCATCGCTGATAGGGAGAGAGACAGAGAGAATGAGAGAGAGAGGAGAAAGATAGATCCCTTGAGAGAGAGAGAGAGAGAAAAAGAGAGCGAGCGAGCGAGGGAAGGACGGAGGGAGGGACGGAGGGAGAGAGGGAGCAAGGCATGGAGGGAGGGAGGGAGAGAGAGAGAGAGATAGAGACTGAGACAGAGTCTGAGACAAAGGCTGAGACAGACTGCATGACAAAGCAAGGCAAAGGATGTTCTCTAGGCTCTCTCAACCTCCAGAAACCACAAGTAAGGGACTCTTGAACTTTGACGTTGGCAGATCGGGGGATGTCAAACAACACTGGCGAGGTGAGGAGTTCGTGCGCATCATCGTGGCACATCGTCATCTCAAGGACTCCGATCATGTTTGTCATGTTTTTGTGTTTAAAACGGAAGTGTTTCATGTTTTATGTGATATATAATATGTCATAATATTGTTTTTTTTAAACCAAGTATGTGTTTAATATTTCTTCATTTTTTGTGTGACGGAGAGATTGTTGGACAAGTATGTGTTTCTTTTCGTGATTGGCACCGGGACATGTTCCTTTCAGCCGGTGACTGCTTTGCCCTAAGATTCGGCCATTGAAGTTGACAGCCGCCTTGGTTCCCAAAGCAAGAGGGCAGAGTGAAAGACTTTAGTTATCTTAGTTGGAGAAATACGTTGTGTTGGGGAAGCACATGCGTAAGTTGACAAGGAATACTACAATACTACACATACGCGCCATTTTGGTCGCACAGCAGTCGCCCAGAAGCACGAGTCACTAGGTCACCGGTTGGCAGGCGCGGAATCCTGTCCTGGTTTCAGAAGTTCAGAGACAAGCTAATGGACGTTGGGAGGAGGCACGGCTGGTGAATCACATTGACAGCATTGTTTAGCAAGATCGTTTGACCGCCACATCAGATGATATCGGATGAGCAGTGTGTGAAAGAATAATTAGCATACATTTGCGATCACTAGGTCCCACAAAGCTCAGTTTTTGAACAAGAAAAAAAAACATCACAAAACACGACTAGAACTCAGCAGAAGACTCAACCAGAAAGGAGGACTCACAAGCAGACACAAGAACAAGCAACAAAAAATAAGCACAAATATCACAAATTGACATTCAAGGAAACCAACAATCAATTGGTACTTTTTTAAGTCTCTCTTTTATGTGATTTGTTTTCTGTTGATTTCAGACTTTTGTGGTGAAATCCTTGCCTCAAATGCCAAAGCCCATCGCCAAGCTGACCCCAAGCAGGGCTCGTTGCGCGTAGCGGCTCGTTGGGCTCGTTTCTGACTGTGCAGGTGTCCAAAGGCTTTGTCCTCCCACGGAAGTGGAGCATGGCTCCCGAAAGCGCGACAGCTATGAGGTCAAACGAGTGAAACGAGTGGTGCGACACGTGAACAGTAGCGCGTAGGGCTCACGGCTCACGGAAAATCCAGAAATCGACCACTTCTCTCATCCCCAGCTTCTCAGAAATCAGAGCTTTTCTCTCCTCCCTGAGACGATGTTTGAAGACAAGACCGTTGTGTGTTCCAGGAACGAAGAGGAAGAGAGAGAGGGGGAGAGAGAGAGAGTTTCGCTTTTGAACAGCGATGGAATCCGATGGACGACGGGGAGTCATGTTGGACAAACAGGGTCGTTCGCAAATGCACATGTAAAGGAATTATGTAAAGGAACAACTATTGGTTACAGTTGTGTCGTTCTGTTTGTGGGACATCGCGGAGCTGGGTCCATAGAAGCGGCGACTCAACCGCAAGGGGGTGATATAATATATTATGTGCTACTAGTAGGTTTGGAAATAGTCATTTAGCACAACCCCCACAGTATCTAAAAACATGTGAGTGACTCTTCGATCATGACATGTCACTGGGTAGTAGGCGTATTCATTGCAAAAAGTACGCAGGCGCCGGGACTGTGTTTTCATTTTCTACCAGAGTGGACCATTTCCGTACAGGCTGCAAACCATCGCTTGGGGATTTGTCAACCCTAAACTCAATGGAGCAGCGTTCAAAACCTCCCGGCCATTAGGTGTAATGTACCGTGAGCATTTGTCTATACATTGCTGTGAGTATGCGCTGCATTGCTGAATTTAGACTTTGACACCATGCATAGAATATCACATACTACATTACCATGTTTCCATTTGCTGAGATTCTTGGTGGCTTTGAGGGCTTCGACAAGGGGTAATGACAAGGGAATGACAAGGGCGACAAGGGCCTCCATCCTGATTGGGGATTGATGGGAATAACAGGGGTAAGGGATCAAGTAGTCAGATGCAGTGCGTAAGGAGTGTGTAAGCCGTTTTTTTGCGTGCGTGAGTCACGGTCAGTTGGGGCACTCAACACATGTTTTTCAGAACTGCAAGAAATTCATTGGAAACGTTCGGTTCCCTTTGTGGTATTGCCTTGAGATGTTCATGAACTTGCAGAAAAGCACTTTGCTCATCTTTGCTCAGAAGATGTTCTCCAGCACCCCAGCCCCAAAGCGACCAACAGACCAACTTCTGTGACCCTAAGCTGTTAAAGCAAAAGGAAAGTTACAGTGCGGAAGCTCACACTGTGGCTTCGTGCAGACTCTTCTCGTGTTCGCCTTGCGTGTTCGCTTTCATTTCTCCGCCCGCTGGTGCGCGTGCGTGCTGTTTCGCTGGTGTTCAGCGGATACGTGCTGCCGTTTAACTCAGAAACGACATCATCCAGCGCAGAAGGATGTTTTGAAACCTTCCTTTTTGAACCTTCCAGATTCCAGTCCCCCAGTCCCCATCGCAACCATTTGCCTGACTCTCTTGCCTGACATTTGCCTGTGATTTGGAAGACCCCCTTGCCATGATCAACATGTCCTTTCATCCTTTGCATCCTGTCACCCAAAGAAAAGCCAAAACACATGGTATTCCGTGTGTGTTTTTAAGTGTGTTCCCTCATGAAGACCGCTTGGAGGTCTTCCGACCTGAAGGCTGAAACCTCCATCACTCGGCTCCAACGCTCCATGGCCCCATGGCAGAACGTTCCGGCGTCAACCGGCGTTCGTTCGAAGGTTCGCGGTTCGGCCGTTCGACTGGCCGACATCATCCAGCGCAGAAAGGACGTGTTGACGAAAATGGCTCAATGGCTTCCTTTCGAACCTTCCACTCCCCATCCGGACAAGGAGCGTTGTTTTTTTGTGGACATTCCGACATTCCCTGATGGACGGAGCGAGATTTTTGAATCGTCCAAGAGATCGGAACCACGCATCGGCGTTGTACAATGTTGCGCAACACTTGCAGTGAGCTGGGTCGGATGAATAACCTTTCCATGAGAAGGTTTGCTATTTGATGTTGTTTGAGAAGGTCTCAATAGAAAAGACGGCACAAAATCGAACACATGGATTAATTGGGGGGGAGGGGTTCTACACTCAGACTACTCAGACTAAATCTCTTATATAATGAATCTTTTCATTAGCAGATATCCCCAAGACTTAAAGTTATATAAATCTCTACATGAGGTAAATCTATCTAAGTCTCTTCATGTGTCATGTGTGGTACCACATGACGGGATCTTTGGGAAGCCTTGGAGGCTATGACCTGTATGAGGTGGGGTACCAGGGTACCTGCCATATGAAGAGGCGGTTTGGGCGCCATTTGAGAAGGACGGTAAGCATGTGGAGCATGAAGAGAATGTTGAACATGTGCTGAGTTGGATGAAGCTGATAGGATTCGAACGAAGCAAGAGAATCTATGAGGTTCAAGGTTCCATCAGGAAGGAGAAGGAGAGGGCAGGAAGGTGCAAGAAAACTTAATTTGGATAAGTCTATTGGACTGGGCAACTCAGGCCTGTGGGGAAGTTGTTTGTTTATTCCTTGCTGTGTGGAGACCAAATGAGCGAATATGGTGTTTTGGGGGGGCCTTTGTGGGAGCTTGTTGGATAGGTTTTAGAATGTTTTTGACATAAGTTCACAAAGTGTTTGAGTGTTCCTAGAATTCCGTGTGACTTTGTTGGGTGAAGGAGAGCTGGGTAGGAGATACGGAGGAGCACGAGTTGGTTGCTTCAGCAGACTGCCAGCTTTGGTGATGAGCATCAAGACTACACCGACTACAGATATAAATATAGGCAGTTGCTACACACATCCACCAATTTGACCAATGTCCTATCCGATAAGTTTCGCTCATCATGGGCCGCGTGCGGCGGCCACAGGCACACTGGCAAAGGTATGAGTTCCACTGAAAGATGATTGGAGAAGGGACGTTAGTTGATTAGCAATATAGGACCATGGGATGAGGGATTGGGTCAAGTGAACAGGCTGAAAAAAGGGGATTGCATTGCCAAAAATTTGGCCAAAGAAAAGTAAGAGGTTGCACAATGTTGCACATTTTCTTTGGGGGAGTTATTGCACCAAATTGTAAAACATGTGCGAGTGTGTTTGTTTTTTTTAGTAAACGCCGTCAGCATTGCCGGAACGAAGCGGATCAAAGTAATAGGGGGGTTCTCAATCCTACCTTCACATGAATCATTCACGGAGCTTCCGTTAGTTGCGCTGCTGAGGAGCAAGTGTTGCAGGCTGAAGGCATTGACGCCTGGTGGTGCCAGGCCTTGGCTCACAGAGTGGCGGCAGACTGAATTGCGGCTAGCAGTGCCGCCCGAAGCTGAAACACGCCCATGTCGCAGACCCGGGTTAAACTCCACCGACGATACCCTTGGCATTCACAAACAGTCCTCTCCCTCTCCCCGTGAAGAAGGGTGAGAAGGACCTTGCATGGAATTCACGACTGGACCTTGCGTGAGAACGAAGGTCCGCTGCGACCAACGCCGAACGCAGCGGCAGGTGGAACGCCTGGAGCTGGCCGCGGAGGATACGGAGAGGAGATCAGCAGAGGAACGGAAGCCTCAGCGGCCGGTCGGTGTCGAAGCCAGCTGTGCTCGATGGTCCCCCAAGCAGCTGAGAGCGAACGAAGGTCACACACTTGAAAATCGGTTGTTATCGGGTTCATGAGGCCCTTTGGGGGGGCAATGTTGCAAGGGTTGAGAACTTCTCAACCTCGTATAAGAGGATTGGGCTTGCGCACCACAGACATGTGAGGAAATTTGTTCGGATGCTGCCCTCTTACAGGCAGAACCACTCACTGATTTTTTTGTCATAAAAGAGAGGCTGAGGAAAAATGATGTGGATTTGGGCGTCGCTCCAATAGGTTGTGGAGCTTTGGACCATTTCTAACAGCTCCAGGCACAAGAGCGCAGGGCCTCTGCACTGTGGCAGCCGCCAAAAGCCCGAGAAGCACTGCCCAAAGCAGGTGGAAGCGCATCGCTGAAAACTCATTCACCTCTCCATGGTAAAGTATCAAGAAATTATGGTTGACGTTCTTTCGCGGAACGGTTGAAGCATCACCTCTTGGTGCTTCAAATATCTTCAAATCGTTTCTTTTCCCGGGAAGTGTGTAGGACTATGACTTAGGTCCTACTCAGACAATCATCCTCCAGTGTGTGCTACGAGGAAGTAGGTCGGGGTCAACGACCAGAAGGAGGGTGTATCCATGGGTGAAGCGCGGCGTGGGCGTCGGCGGACCGCGAGCAAAGCCACAGAAGCAGACCACAGAGCACCACACAGAAGAAGACAAGCAGACCACAGAGCAACACAGAACAATTCCAGACCAGTAGACCACAGCCCCGCAGGGCTTGTGGAAGCCCTGGAATCGCGCTGGGCCAGCACTAATGAAGATGAGCTGTGCGACACCCGCGCAGCGGTGTGACCTGGTCCGACAGCGACTCGTGTCCGTCGTGGGGCGGTGGGTTAGAGCTGTTCTTGCAACCTGAACCTCCGAGGTATGGTATGAGGGCAGTTGCATGGGACAGTACAGCACATTGCACAACCCAAAACCACTCTCAATTCATGTTGGATCCTGATTAGTAAAAGAGGCCCCCCCCACCTAAACAAATTGGGGTGTCCTGTATGATAAACTACCACCAAATCAAATCTGGTTTCCCAATTGATTGTAGTATATTGTAGTAATTGTAGTATTGATTTTCCTGGAAGGGAGGGGGAGTGCAGGTGGACAGGGTTCAGAAGGAATTAAAACATTTCTAATTTTATACAATTACTAATCAGCATTATAGAGGACTCTATTACTAATCAGGATCGAACAATACATGCAGGTCGTCATGACGGCTAGAATCGGCCAGAGGCAATAACACTTGGTTCGCTTTGGTTCAATCTCTTCATTTGCATGCATTCAAATTGAGGACAGACCCTCCCTTTGAATCAGCTGCGCCAACTTCCTTCAACCCAATTTGTTGTTCCATCCGGAAGTCTCGTGGCTCTTCCAACCCTATTAGGCCTTCGTCTCGTGGCCTCCGGATGGGAAAAAAACCACCCATCAGCACCTCACAGGACGTCGGGCTCCGGCCGAGGCTTTGCCACTTGGCGGAGACAGCAGACTTGACGCAGACCTTGCGACCTGGCAGAAGGACTCCTGGGAGGGACGTGGCATAGCATCATGCATCCCGTTTGGATTCTGCTCGTCATATTTTCACATCAGGCTTGGGAATAGAGGAAGCACAGATCATGGCGACCTTTGTGTTCACCCCGCCTGGAAAATTCCACCTGGTTTCCGCTGAAAAGGATGGATGGCGATCTCCTTGATGGTTTCCAAGGATTGACCTCCTGCTCGAGATTTTCCAGCGATGCAGGCCGATTCCGCTCTCCACCGGTCGGAGACCGGTACGCTGAGAAGCTACCGGGCATCGCGGCCTGAGCCACCAGGTAAACCAAAAGAGACGGCCGAGCTCTCCACAGGTGGCTGGCAGTTCACGGGTTCTTCTATGTTTATTTTTCATCCAACCCTGGTTGCACATGGTTGCGCCAAACTGTGCAACAACAGTTTGCAATAAAAGGGATGTGATTTGGAGGCTTCAAACCTCTCAACGTTGAGTCAACTTGACCTTGAGCCAACCTGCTTTTCCCAAGGGCAAAGACCCAACTGCCAGTCCCGACGTTCATTTGGAGTGTCAGGCAGCCAAGAGCCTTGGGGCACGTCGTCTTGGATGCTGCCCAACGCCTCCTGCGTCGGCGCGACAAGGTGTTTTACGACCGGCCCTTGACGCGAGGAGCTTCAGCCACCTGGACATGGCAGACGAGATGGGTCCGGTTACTGGATGGCCTTACTGGGAGGTAAGATTACCGGTAAGAAGATCCGTTCTCAAGCTTCTTGCCATGTGAAGTTGTGCGCATGCTTTGATCACCCTAGATTGTTTGGTGGCTGCAACGTGCTGCAACCCAGAAATCCCATCCCACGCTGTCCACATGACCTGGGACAAGGCTAAGTGGCAGCAGCTGATTGAAAGGGCTGCCAGCGGCATGTTTTGTCCCAAAGTCGTGGCGAAGGCATGGTCCGACGTCACCGTTGGCAGTTACATATACTGTAGATATATATATATATATATTTAGGTACTCGTACTGTAATTCAACGTGGTTTGGGCGTCCCCAGATGCAATGCCGAATGGTGGGAGTTTGCTTCCTGAGGAACACGTGCTAAGAGCCACCAGCCTGTTTTGTAGTTGGTTTGGTGGACGCGAACTCGGCTGAGCATGGACGTGAATAGGGATAGTTTCGCCACTCGGAACTTCGCCGTGCCGTGGTGTGACCGGTGTGACCGGAGAACGAGAGGAGGACCTTCGCCAACGATGATTGTTGCCCTTGGCGGATGGCTTTACAAGAAATGAAGGCACCAACTTAGGTTCGAAACAGCCTCATGACTCATGAGGAAAGCCATGGTTGGGTAGCTTGGTGCATGTCAATCGCAAGAGACTCGCGAACGCAGTTCTTCGTTGATGGCCTGGTGTCCTTTGGCTTCATTGTTCGATTTGGCATCCGAATCTATTCAATTCAGCGATGCCGAAATGACATCGGAGAATCCTTTCAGCTGTTTTCAGCTTGCTCCGACCCCTCCAAGACCGGCGCCATCCGGCGCCACCGGCGTTCGGCGTTCGGAGGCCTCCAAGCAACTGGGCATGGAGGCGGTGGCCACGAAGGGTCGCCAGGAATCCGTGGCTGCACCTCGGTGTATTGGCCGCACCCTGCCAGGGTGGCCCGGGGGGTTGGAGGATGCAGAGGTGGTGTTGAAAAAGGTCGGCGCCAGGTCGGCGTAGTGGTGCGGTGGTGCCAACTCCTCAAGAATACCGAATACCCTCCTTCTTGGCGAATCGCGCCCCATGTCAGACTGCGAGACCACCACTTGGCGTGCACCACAAAGTCACTTGGAGCATGTAAAAAACACTATTTTTTAAAACAAAAAACACCCAAACCAGCGCAGTCGCAAGCGACTCCACACCCTCACCCTATAGTTTGTAGCGTTTTAGTTTTAGTGTATATTCTATATTATTCTATATTTGTGCAGCGGATCTGGATGCAAAGACTGTTGTGGATGCAGAGTCTTTTGCCACAAGACGTGGCCAAGATGCGACACAAGTTGGCAACAAACCTGCAAAGACATGACCTGCAACCCCGTCCCCTTCGAACCCTACCCGGGATCACAGGGGAATTCTGGTGGAGGGGTGAGCTTCCACCCCAAAGTGGATTTCTGCCGGAACCCATTGGGACGGAACCAATATCTCAATAGATTCTGGAGAGGAACTGTTACCAAACTGTTTGCCTCCTGAAGTAGTAAAATCCTGGAACCAAGAACCAAGATTCCGGCAGAACTCTTGGCAGGAATCGTCCTTCTTGGTTCTTGGGACTCAAAGGTAGTACATTTGTTGCTTTGTTTTGCAGAGTGCCTCAACCTCTTGGTTCCAGAGTCAGAGAGGTCAAAACACCTCTTGGTTCTTACCCTTTCCAATAGTTGATGTGGAAGCCACTCTGCTGAGCTGACATGCCTGAATCCCAGCTTGAATTTGCTAACACAGATGGAATTCATTTGGCGAAGTGATTTTATATCAATGGTGCTTTTCTCCTTCTGTATTGAATGCGCTTGTTTTTGAGGACAAATTATCCCCAAAAAAGAAACTTCCAACCAAACATATATATATAGCTGTTTTAAACACTGTATATAGCCTTTCTATTCAATGCAGAGCATCATTTTCTTTTGAGAGCAACCAGATTTTCACGACAATGCAATGTTGCCTATCATGTGTTTTTCCATTTCGTAAGACAAGCTTACTTGAGGCTTGCTTAAGGTTTAATTGGTGTTTGCAGGAGTAAGAAAACTAAGAGGTCCTGGGACCTCCTGGAACTCTTCCATCGGAGTCTTGGTTCCTTGTCTAGGGAGGTTTCATGTATAACGAAGCCAGGTACTTACATGTACTAGCACAATCCTGGAACCAAGCACTAAGAACCAAGTCAAGCTTCCGCAGAACTCTTGGCAGGAATCCTTGGTTCTTGGTTCCGGAAAAGTACATGTACATTTTGTGGTGCCGATCAAGTATATATTCTCAAAGACTCACGCCCCAGTGTGCTGATAGTATTGAACCCACTAGTAAAAACACACCAAAATAGAGTTCAGGTTACTATAGATTACTATAGATTGATTGATTGTAGAACCTCCCTTTCGGAAAGCACCTGCCGCATGGCAGCACCGGTGCCAGGATCTTCTGGCGCGCTTCGAGGACTTCAACTTCCCCGATCGACCCATCGAGTCGACCCATCGCGAGGCCACCTTAACAGGCGGAGCGGGTGAGCGCCCGTCGACCGGGCGAGCCGTCGTTCCGACATGTGGACCGGGCAACACGGCATGTGGACCATGGACGCGGATCTATATAAATTCAACTAAGCCACTTCTGATTCCCAACGTGGCTCAAGGCAGATTGTTGGGTACCCATTGATGTTCTCGAGTTGTTCAATTTACAGGATTGATACCTAGACCCTGCTTAGGCAATAAAATCAATATGTTCGTCCCAAGTTCATTTAGGCAGAAAAGTCTGCCCGTTTTCACAAAGAACGCCTAAGCTGCCGCCTCGAGGGTCAAACGCCGAGGCACAATCACATGCATTCTTACACGCAGGAGGCAGTGCCAGAATTTGAAAGAAACACAATTTGATTAAAAAAGCGCTTACCACCTGATGCTAGTCCCTAGCTCTCAATAGTTGCTCAAACTCATGTCACTCACTCCCTTCAAAAAGGTTACCATTCATTTGTCCACCCATGCACTCATTTTAGTGAGGGGGGAACCTAACTAACGTGTAAGAATGCCCAAGCGACGAGAAGAACTCCTATACGCAAACAGCATTTAGGCAACGGAAACAAATAAAAACACATCATAGCGCACCAATAACATACAAAAGTGAAGCATCAAGTGATTTCCTGATAAACAAATGTACTTCATCACTATGAAAGTTCCTGGAACCAGTGGTGTGTGGATCCTTATTTATTTGAGCATAGCCACCACAAGGAAAAGAACGCCTAGGGGGGACAAGAACATAGCATTGACAAAGGTGCCTTTACCATAAAGGAATCAATTTCTGCCCAAGACAAGCAAGTTGGAGAAGGCTATTACTGTAATTGAACGCAAAGGCTGGAGATGCCAAGCGCTATTCATTAGTTCTCCACCACGCTGTTCTCCATGCTTGGGCACGCTGGAGCACATGAGCCAATGCGCGCCCAGTTCACTTGGCTCTGAAGCCAATATTCCTCTCTGCGTGTAAGGCATTCCAGCAAGATCCAGCAAGGAAGATATGTTTAGAGATGTTCTGAAACAATGAGGTGTGAGGTGTCCTTTGGCTTTTGTGGAACCCCGCAAGATCATGTTTCCTCCACTAATCATTATCATGGAGTCCTGGCCAGCTTCCATGATTGCTTGGGAGGGTCATGTTTGGTTGGAGGGAGATGTCGCAGGTGCCGTACAGCTTTGCACCTTGCGCTTGCAGCAGTTGCAGCGCCAGCGAGAGGCCCGAAGATGCCGCGAGGACGGAACCGGGTTACACAGCGTTCAGTGAGGAAAGGAGTCTTGAGGTTTGAAACAGTGAGGGTGCTTGTTGATGACGTTTCCAGAGAGTCCGGGTGACCTTTTTCCGGAGGTGCTGCGCAAGAAGAAGCTGCTATTGTATGCTATTTTGCACAAATTTTGGCACGATGAGAAACACTGAAGGCAGAATTGAGTGCGTAATCCCCACCGTCTTAGATGCAGGAAGATTCAGCTTGACCAAGCTGTTGCTGAAATGTCTGAAAGGATCCTTAACAGGAACCCAAATGTTGAACCCTACTTAGGTCCAGCTGTGATTTTCTGGGCACGACCGATCGCTGCATGTTGTATTTCTCCGGAAGATCGCACTGTAGTCAGGGATGGCACTCGATGGTGTATTTTGAAAGATCGTTTTTGTTTGTGAATTTGATTTGTACAGAACCCTATTTACTACTACTACTACTACTACTACTACTACTACTACTACTACTACTACTACTACTACTACTACTACTACTACTACTACTACTACTACTACTACTACTACTACACATTTGTTCGAAGAGGTGCAGAGGACATGGTCTAGTGAGTAGACATACCTACAAATTACGTAACAGTATGTGTGTGTGTTTTGCATGTGCAAATTGTATACACAATATATATTTATATTATCCTATAACGTTGATTTACAACTTCAACTCAACGTATTGTAACTAGAATAACTAGTTCTTGCTTCTATGTTGCTTTGCGGGGTGTAATGGACGCCCTTCCTCATCCCTCTCAGATGACCAGGAGCTACACATTTACCAATAATAGGCATATCGAGAAACATAGGACGACATCCAGATGAAACTAACGTAGTGCGTGCTCATGCGTGCTCTATATTATGATTCCGAAATCGAAGAGGAGGACGCCAAAATGATGTTTCTTGCTTGTGAAATGCTCATGTTTGGGGGTCCATCAGTTCTCCTTCGTCAAAAGCCAAGAACACCATGTCATGAGGTTGCAGGTCTCAGAGGCTTTCAGTCTCCGAAGTCGAGGTCCACCGAGCCCCAGGTCACCCGGAAGCCCCACGCCGCATCTTTCGAGGAGACAGAAGACTCAGAAGACCAAGCTGAAACTGGGGGCTGCTGCTTGGGTGGCTTTGCTTGCGACTCCAACTGCTGCCTAGCAGTGTGTCGTTGTGAAGCAAGGTGCGGAACAGGGCAGGTGTCGAGTACTCTCCGTGTTTGAGGCATGTTGGGAGACTGCCGCTTTTGTAAGAATGGTACTGATACTGGTGCTTCTACTGCTAAGGCTGCTGCTGCATGCTGCTGCTACTGTACCCAGCATGGATGAAACGCGTACTAAAAGTTACGTACCTCTTATGTTCGACCGAATTCGTCCTAAACTTGCGTAAGCTATGGTGACCCCCCTCCGTTTTGCCCTGAGAGATCTTTTGTGTGACTGTATTGTTCTTTGAAACTGCCATGCATCATATATCTATAATATCTAAGAGGATTGATGATGCTTCAGTGAATCCATGTTGTTTCTGCTTTGCTGCATCCTGGAGGGTCCTTTGTTCGCCACGACCACACGAAGCAGGTGCTGTTGCCGATGCCGCTGCGACCTGCTGCTGCGAGTGGATGAGGCGAGTGACGAGAGGTCTTCAGCTGTCACTGTGGGTCAGCTGGTTTCGACGCCGAGTCGAGTTCGACCCTTCAAAGGTCGAAAGCCGAGTCGAAGCATACCATGGCTTTGTTCAGTGACCTCCACGGCACCAAGGCTTCGAAACCATCAGGTGGGTTTCTCATGGTTTCGGTCTCACATCCCCCCACTCCAGGTCTGATTGCAGTATCGTGGGTCAACAAATGGGCAAACGCTGAGAAACACATGTATAAAATGAAAACACACACATCAAAACCACTGGCACCGTCCATGTGTGAGGGACCCCGATGTGATTCAACCCACAAATGACAGAGCTGTAGACTCACCAACACACATGTTCTTATGGGATTTTATGGAAATTTTGGTATATAACCAAAAGTATTGTTACAGATGTATGCAACAAGCATCCTGAGGAAACTTGTTTGTTGGTCGCCTGATTCTACAAAGATGGAATGGAAGTTATGTCAGGCATATACTTGGCTCGCCATTGCTGTCCAGTCATTACACCTTGAAGACCATCTCAACCTATTTGTTGGGTCTTTAAGTGGTGCATGTGCTGCCCCTGGTGAAGACTTTGAATTGGGGGGACTGAGTTTTGGGAAGTTGTGCACTTTGCAGATGAAGACATTTGAGGCCCGTTCTGGAAGCAACCACAGTGGCGGTTGTGGTTGGATGATTTTGCCCACCCCGCCATCCCCTGGTTTTTCACCCATTGGCTGCTTGATGTGGTTTTCCATGTTTCACTGCTTTGTGGCGCCATGAATCCATTGGCGGTGTGCAGTTGTTCACATTCGATCTCATCCAATGGCTTGGCTATGGTTATACCAAGCTGCAAGGTGGGTGTCAGTCCAGAAGTGTGGTTTCCACAGGAACCTGACCCCGAAATGCCAAAAATCCGAGGATTGAGTGGGCGCCCCTGACCCCTTCGCTGGACGATTCGCTGGACCAGGTGCAGCCCCTCTTCTTGTGGTGCGCGTCGCACGGCGAGCTGGCGCCAGCCAAAGCCCTTGCGCAGACGGAGTCCCGGAGCCACCCAAAAATACACGGCGAAGGGTTTCTGGTAGACTTGTGGATCATCTAGTAGAAGACCTTGTGGGTTACTACCTAGTAGACACTCGCTGGATCATCTACTTTGTGGGTTGTTGCAGTGATCACTTATCGTTTGGCTCATTTGGTTTCAGCCCTAGTTTCTTTCTCCATGTTTCGGAGGTGGGCATATAGTTGGGTGGACAAGGGTTCCTGGAAGACTACTGCTCTCATGCTTCCACGGTGGTCACGCGGCGAACTCCAGAGTTGTTGGAGCGATGTAGTGGTCAACCAGTCATGGAGCGAGGCAGTCAGCCGGAGGTGTCGAAGGTCCCGGGAGAGGAGTCATTTTCGGGTTTGGAGCTGTTTTCACTCCAGAGAAAAGATCCAGCCAACACATCGACAACATGTTTTTGACGTGTAAACAACTGCCATTTGTAGATCAGATCAGATTTACCTTCAACCGGTTTTCTGTCCACTTTTCTGGATCCACCTTGCCAGACTCAGGAGCTTTGTGGCGCCATTGCCCAGAGCTTGGAGGCGGACTTGGCGGCCCTCCTACAGGTGAGCGGTTCCAGCCTGGCCCTCCGGCCTTGAGTCCAAGCAAGAGAGGTTCAGTGACCTGAACTAGGACCTTACTGGGGTACCTATGGTATATATAGTCTATAAGGTCCTTCAACCTCTGGAACCCTTCCAAAAAAAAACACTCTGAGCCTGAGGAAGCTTGCGATTCGAGTGTTGGAAGGTACGTTTTGAAGTGCAACATCTTGGCCAAGAAAAACAGTAGGAATTAGCTACCTGGGAGGTGCACAAGGTGACCGAAGGTTATTCAAAACATCACCTGTCCCACATGATGCCCAGAAAATTGGTTTGTTGCCTCCGCCTGGTCAATTGAAATCCACATCTGATCATTAGTGACTGTCCATGTGATATTAGCAGTGATTGGGGAAGACAATTTGGAAACATGATTTTAACCGCAGACACTCATACAATAATATGTGTTTTAGATGCATAGTAGGTGTATATAATATATCAGTATATACATGTTTGTTTCATGTGTGCGAGGGAAGGAGAATACCGATTTGAAGCCATCTGGAGAATCACCATACCTTGCCACTTGGAGAATCGCCATACCTGGCTCAGTGCCGCAAGGCCTCCGGCGTTTCCCTGGGCCGGCGGCAGCGGCGGCGCGTGAACGAGCCAAAGGCGGCAGCAGCGGCTCCGACTCCTGCGACTGCGAAGGAGTCGGGAGGAAAGAGCCTGAAGACTTCCAGAGCCTGAAGGTTGGTTTTACAGGGTTTTGATTGATTGGTGTGGTCAACCCTCGATTTGATTGAGCGAAGACACTGTTGAACATGGCGTGCAGAGCTCACAGTTGACAAAAAGAAGAAATTGATAGTCAGCATCAACAGGAGACAGACCAGAAGAAAGTACGCGCTCAACTGGCCACATGTGTTTGGGAGTTGGCTAGAATTTGCAACTTCCTTCTTGCACCGGGCCAGCCATGGGAGGAGTTCTGCTGACAGGGAGCGAAGGTACATGGCACATCCAGGAGTTTCAATGTTACTAGGGGCTCCTGGCCGTACTACTAGGAACAAGCAGCTACTAGGGGCTCCTGGCATCGCTACTAGGAGCAAGGACACTACTAGGGGCTCCTGGCATCGCTACTAGGAGGAAGGACGCTACTAGGGGCTGCTGGCATCGCTACTAGGAGCAAGGACACTACCAGCGGTCATCACGGCTTTTCACATACGTGGCTGAAGGGGGCTGTTGGGTATTCACTGGGTATTCACTGAGAACTAAATGTCAACGTAGGATGAATCGACGGCCCCCCCTTCTTCAAGGCCAACAAGGTTTGAGATTGGAGGTATTGGAGGACCAGATCCCCCTAATAAAGGTGATGACCTGATGATGGATGATGGTTGCGAGGATTCTTTGTGTCATGAGGACTGTGTAAGGGCTAACCCTGTGGGAGCTTGAAAACCTGAAGATGTTGATAGAGTTTTAATAATAGGGAAAATGAACAATTTTGCGAGAGAGGTTTTAGGGATTGTGGAACAATGGACGCTGACCAGAAGATATTGGATGCTGACCAAGAAGAAAGTTAATAAGAATAGTAATAATAATAATAACAATTATTATAGTAACCCATTTCGTATTTTTCTGGGGCAACTGGGCTTGATTAATAGGAGGAGGTCACTTAATCCTAGGTTGACCTTGAGCCCGTCAGGAGGCCTTCCGAGCGCCTTTACCGCCCTTGGAGCTTTGGCCAGACGTGGAGCTGCATTGGATAGAGTGCTTGTCAGGTGTCTCTGAGGAGACTCAGCAGAGAAGTCGTCAAGCCTTAAGGATGTTTCGTCACCAATACCAAACAAAGATCCTGGACCGATCTGTGAGGTTGCCCCATATTGACACAAAAAAAATACAATACTGTATATTATACATATTGCACATATTGTATACCATGGATTCTTGTAGTGAACCCGCATGCATAGGCAAAGGGAACAACCTTGTCGTGCGCCAGAATGCAGGCATGATCGCGCATGCCCCTGTTGCTGTACATCATACATACACATAGCCAATACCCGAAGAAGGCCCTGGGCCTCCGAAATGCCTGGGGATTTGATTGGAAACCGGCTGCTGCAGGGTTTGCATTGTTCATCGTTTTCAGATTTCAGCACGTGCATACTCATTTCTTGCTTGGGTATCGAGAAGAGCGGGTATCGATTATGCGTTTCTTGGCATAAGTCATTCAACATTTGACCTCCAAGCCCGTTTGAGGCACGTGTAAATCACGGTTTAGGGTTTAGGGTGAATCACACACCCAAACATTCCCCATAAATCTAATAGAGTCTAGAGTGTCAACAAAACAGAAATGGAACAAAACATTTCAATCGGATAGCCACCCGGTTCGTGCAGCATGTAAAGAAGTACGATATCGGCTTTACCTCACCAGGCAGAGTGGGAGAATACCCCGGGTTTTCCTGTGAAACCCGATATTGTTTCAATTTTACTAGATCAGCGGGCTATGTCCGCTTACCCGAAGACCAGTTAGGGTTCTTTTCGCTCTAAGCAGCTGCTATTGGAGCATCCTTCCAGGAGCGTCCTCACATGACCAACAAAAAGGGGTATACAAAAAGAAAATTGTCTTCCTATCAGAAAACATGATTCCTATCGCAGTGGCAGGGGCAGCTCTCTGTGAAGGGTTAATTGTTTTGATACCAATTAATTGTTCTTTTCGATAAGATATGGAACATGTTCTTTTTGATATATAGTTGTTTTCTTTTTGATAGCCCGGCCACAAAAAGGTGGGGTGGCAGGTTTGCCCTGGACCATGGCTGGCTCTGTTGGTCGACTCGGGAGGCTTCGGTTCCGCCCATGGGTTGGCGAAAGGAGATCCTGGCACGGACCCAGCTCGAGGGAGGTGTGATTGCGCTGGATGCGGAATGGAAGCCCTTTCAGTCTGGACTGCGCGAGCGACTCGTGGACGACAAGTTGGATGTAAAAGCATCGCGGAGGTGGTCAGACATTGAATGTAACTTACTGGACAATAACTATTGGCAGGACCGGACCACCTAGGAAGAACATGGAAGAACTTTGTTTGGGAAATGTCGCTTTTCCTGTGTAGGCCCGCAAGAGAAGTCGAGGATTGGCACAACCCACCTGCCGCATGCAGAGCTTCTTGCGCAGGAGAAGCACCAACGCCGATGGAGCTGCTTCAACTCGCAGTGATACTTGGCGAGATCAGAAAGAACTCGAATCCTCCAAACCTCACAGATCCTCCAAACCTCACGCGTAGCGAAGTTGCACAGGCCCAGCAGATGTTGGCTTCTGGACCTGCGAGCTGTGCAGTGGTCAGCCCTGCAAGCCCTTTTGCGCCAGCTTTGCAGCTTGGATGCACCCCCTGTGACCCCTTAAACCATTGGAACAAAAGGGCGAGTCGGATGAGAAAGGCAAATCATGCAAGCAACCCAGCAATGCAATGTTTTACCTCGGCGGGCTTTGCTCGACTTTCGTCTTAGCTGCATGATTCTTGATAGGCTCTGAAGACATCTGAAGACAATGCGTGTAGTCGACAACAGCTCCTTGTTCAGCGCCACTCCGCACAGTCATTGCAACTGTACATGAATCAATATATAGAATCTGCATGAATCTGCTCATTCTACTACTACTACTACTTCTACTACTACTACTACTACTACTACGACAACGACTACCTACGACGACTACTACTTCTACTACTACTACCTCCTACTACTACTCTCTCCTACTACTACTACTATCTCCTACGATTACTGTACTACTTTCTAGTGCTACTACTTTTGCGACGACGACCACGACTACGAGAACAAAGCCTTGGCTCTATTCATTCCCAGTTGGTTGCTACAGGGAGGCTGTTTATCATTCAAGGCTCAACAACATTAATATTTGGATAAACCTATTCATATGGGGGATTGTTCACTAAAATGCAATACTGTCACATTTTCTTAGTTGCGTTTTGCATCGGTTTCCGGAAAAAAAAATAATAAAATATATATATATATATACTTTGTTTTTTCTGACATGATTTGGCT